ACAGATGATGTTGAGATGTGTCTGTTACTTGCATTTATTTGGGCTGCAATTTCTGAGGCTGGTAACTCTAATGAACTTATCCTCTGCAGCAGAGGTAACTCTGGGTCTTCCTTTCCTGTGGCGGTCCTCATGAGAGCCAGTTTCATCATACTGCTTGATGGTTTATGCGACTGCACTTGAAGAAACGTTCAAAGTTTTATGGTGATGATGGACTGTCATTTCTCTATGTTTATTTGAGCTGTTCTTGTCATAATATGGACTTGGTCTTTTACCAAATAGGGCTATCTTCTGTGTACCACCCCTACCTTGTCACAACACAACTGATTGTTTTCTGTCTCAACATAATGGAGATTCTTCAGTTACTGACACCAGATTGTCGTCCCGTTTTAGCTCAGTTGGTAGAGCATGGGTCTTGCAACGCTAGGTGCTGTGTTTGATTCCCATGGGGGACCAGTATGAAACAAAGTATGAAAGTGTATGCACTCACTACTGTAAGTCGCTCTGGATAAGAGCGTCTGCTAAATGACTAAAATATATGCTAAGAAAGTTCCTCTCGACCTCCCTCTGTCTGGCCTTATCAGTATGAGGATGACTGAAAGCTCCAATTGGGTTTAATGTATCAATTGTCCAGACTGACACAATGTGTAGGTCCTGGCGCTACAGTCACCGGGAAAAAAGAAGGACATCCATGCTATTCCTTTCCTGTTTTCTTTAACATTTTGTCCAAGTCTGCTAAACCCACCAGTTGGGTAAATATTCTGAAAGTTACAGCATAACATCTGGAACCAAATCATTTCAATGTGTACATTGCTGAATCGGGTATAGTGTATTTATACTGACTATTTTAAAGCTGATCTAGCATAAAATGCTCCTCAGTTTCAAACACACCAGAAGTTTTCCTATATCAATTTGGTCTATAACCATTCTTTGTATAATTTATACAAATGAGGACTATATCTGGCTATAGCCAAGAGCATGAAAGTGCATACATTGAGGCAACTGAAAGATTTTTATGAACTACTTAGTCTTAGGACATGCTACTCTATCTAAATAGAATGTATATAATTCATTGTGATGATTGAATATCCATTCGAGAATAAATGGGAAGTGTTTTGATGCTTCACCTCTTGTTTTCATGCATACACAAATCACACTGAATGGGCACCTGCAAGAATGATAGGAGTCCTGCATAACCTGAGTTTCAATATCACAAGCAGAGCCTCACACTGAAATGTGACACTGTATTGTCAGGGAAGATCAAAATTGTACCCAAGATGTTGACAGCCCCATGTTGTCTTCACATTACACATACCACATAACACTTGTCCAGGGGTCTCACACTTACAGAAGAGCTGCTATTTTGTAGCTGCTATGTCCCTGTGGTATAGCTGCTTCTCAGACATTAGGTAGAGGGCATTGGTGGGACATGCCGGCTTATACATGTTAATGTCCCCTTTTCCCTATTCCAGTCCTGTTAGATTGATGGCTCAGCAGTGGTTCTCATTGATCAATCAGACACAATCTGCGTCTCAATTGAACCCTGGCCAGGGGGATTGTGTATTCTTTAAGGGGAAGCACATCCCTTTGGGCTATGTCAGTGCTCCGCCCTGGATCGATTGTTTTCAACTTATTTGTGTAAATACTTTGTAACCTTATCCATGACTCATCTACAGTCGCACCGTGCCACAGAGTAGCTGACAACACAGCTACAATACATATGAAGTGGAGGAGTGACAGAACCACAAAGTAATCTAGGTGGTCAAGTCTGGAGAAGGGATTACGGAAACTATGAGGATTAATTATGTATTTCATCACAATGATGGATACTACCACATCCTCCTCTGAATAATATTTCCCCTGAGAACAGAGAGAGCTATAGCTTTTTGCTTGCATCTACTTTTGAGAACTATTGTCCATAGTCCTTTTTCAATGCAGTGAGACCGACATTGAACATGGAAAGAGGTAAATTATTCTCCTTGTGAAATTGATTAAACCTTGAACTGCAAATGCTTTATACCATATATGATGGGGGGCCTTCCTGTTCAGAGGTAGATATACACTTGGATTGCTATAGGGCCTTTTTCATAAATGTTGTTATACTCATGTTTTACCGTATGTTTCTTACTCTGGTGACATTTAATAATCCCATTTAACCATTAACAAGGTCAGGTGGCTAATTTAAGACATGCCTATAGCCATTATGAGTGATCTAGAACAGGCATTGCTGTTAAGGTTGTACCACTGTAAATGTTACATCTAACACAATTACTGTTTCAATGAAGAGAACGACCCCTAGGCTGCATCAGCACTCGGTCCTTATTTGTCATACGTGTCTGCTGTTTCCCATGGCTGGATACAAAGGCCAAAAAACACACGAGGAACACGCATTCTTTATGTGACGTCCTCATCAAATTCAGTGCAGTGGAATGAATGGAATCTCAATGACGTTTTCTAAATTCTTCCCTCACCACGAGGTCATATTTCTATATTGATGTATTAATTATAATCTTGTGAAAGAACAAGAGCAAAAAACAAAAGTGTTGGACAAGCATTTAAATGGTGCTGTTGTTGGCCCACTCTCCGTCATTCTAATGAGGGAGGCTCCATTAGACCCAGTCTACAATGGAGGTTGGAAATGTCACAGAACAGGTCCTGACATTTCTGTGTTTGATATGGAATCAAAAATGGGAGTCGTGGAGTTCACAGCGACTGAACTAATCTGCGGTTACAAAATAACAAAATCATCGTGTTACGGCCTCAGAGGGAAGAATGCTGTTAATGATGCTGGCTTTTCTACTTTTATAATGATGTATCCATTAACATTTAGGAATGTTCCCCTGTAGGTCTAATACCTTAGATCGCAATATCTACTAAGCTAACATATGGAATTGTTTTAAGATGGTCATAAAATGTATCATTTAGCCATTTGATTTAGAATTTTAGGACCCCATTAGGTATAAAAAATAAATAATTATAAAACATTGAATTTGGCCTTTACTGCTATAGCCCATAGAAACACATTGAATAACACATTTGTACATGGCAAAACAGACAGTCCAAAAATAAAGGAAAGGAAAAAGTTTTTGAAGTGGCTGTCCTATATCTGAGATATATATATATATATATATATATATATATATATATATATATATATATATATATATTTTACATCCAGTAATGGGTTACCTTCAGAGACTCTGCTGAAGCTTGTGTGCTTCATAGTGCAGAACAACCGACACCTTCATGTTCGTGAGAGTCTCCCCTTTCGATATTAGTATTAGTTTGTAGTTCGTGAGAGTCTCCCCTTTCGATATTGGTATTAGTTTATAGTTCGTGAGAGTCTCCCCTTTCGATATTGGTATTAGTTTGTAGTTCGTGAGAGTCTCCCCTTTCGATATTGGTATTAGTTTGTAGTTCGTGAGAGTCTCCCCTTTCGATATTGGTATTAGTTTGTAGTTCGTGAGAGTCTCCCCTTTCGATATTGGTATTAGTTTGTAGTTCGTGAGAGTCTCCCCTTTCGATATTGGTATTAGTTTGTAGTTCGTGAGAGTCTCCCCTTTCGATATTGGTATTAGTTTCTAGTTCGTGAGAGTCTCCCCTTTCGATATTGGTATTAGTTTGTAGTTCGTGAGAGTCTCCTCTTTCGATATTGGTATTAGTTTGTAGTTCGTGAGAGTCTCCCCTTTCGATATTGGTATTAGTTTGTAGTTCGTGAGAGTCTCCCCTTTCGATATTGGTATTAGTTTGTAGTTCGTGAGAGTCTCCCCTTTCGATATTGGTATTAGTTTCTAGTTCGTGAGAGTCTCCCCTTTCGATATTGGTATTAGTTTGTAGTTCGTGAGAGTCTCCCCTTTCGATATTGGTATTAGTTTGTAGCTCTAACGGTTCGATCTGGACAGTCGGTTTTGTGAGAAGACCTCTTCAAAATGAGGACGTCCGTGACAGAGAATTCAGTCTCTTGTGGCTGTTGTAGAGCCAAACAACCGACACTGTCATGTTCATGAGAGTCTCAACTTTCGATGGTGGTGACTTATGTGTTTGTAGCGCCCACGGTTCAGGTTTTACAAACTATTTCGTGATGATTTTCTTGTCAAGATCCTCTCATGTGTAGAAAAAGTCTGCTTTCACAAGCCCAATGTTATGGAATAGGCATAAACTTTATATCTGCGGAAAGAAGGGATTGAGTTGCAGACACTAAAAGAAACGGTAAGTCTCTAGCATAAACACAGCTATTTAAAGCACGGATGCGTCAATCAACTCTTTTTTAAATTATGTTTTACCTTTAAGGTTAGTTAGCATATCAAATTAGTGTACATACCAAGAAAGAAAGTTCTGCCACAGAGCAAATCTACAGATATCTTCTGCATGCATAGTTTCGAACAAGCTGATTTCCAACCTGCTCCTCAGTGCCAGTGCTAATTTATTGGTCGGGGAGCAGAAAATCTATTGTGTAATCTTTTTTTAACATAGTGTTATTTACGTTTGCCCTAAGGGGCAAAGTATCTTTTAGTTATTGGAGTGAGCACCATTATCATTAGGGATAATCATTCCTCGACAACAGCTAGAGTAGCGTGAACTCTCCACAATAGTCCCACAGTGTCCACAGACGATTCACGTCCAAACACACATGAATTCAAAACTCGTGTCAATATCAATACGAGGCCTATGTCGAGGGCTTTCTCCATCTTTCTCCTCGGGCTTAAATGTCAAAAACAGACTGAACCCTCTTATCACTCACACAAATAGTCTCGTTGGATGCCATCCTGCCGCACCAGCAAGATTCTAATAAGTGCCGGATTGTTCGCAAACAGAGAGGGAGCGAGAGAGAGGGAGAGCAAGCGAGAGCCTGGTAGAAAGATAGAAATCCTGTTGTATCTCCAGGCTGGGGCTATTTGCATGGCAATGAAGGCTGTGAGTGTTCAGCACTGTTCCGATGTGCACCCAGACAATAGTGCCAGTGTTTGTTCTTTCACAGGAAGTTTGAGAAAGAGAGAAAAAGGGGAGAAAATAAGAAGAAAGGGGGAGGTCGTCAGTGGAAGGGATTGCACATTGTGAGAACCATGTCCATTTGGTGCTACTGTTATTGGGTCTAAAAAGCAGTATCTGCAGTACCAGGGCCCTTAGTTAACCAGACTGTGTGTTTTCTTCCACACCATGATGCTCTCTGTTGGTAGCAGCTGTTGAAGAGTGGCTTAAAGAGAGGACAATCACGCATAAAGGTGGGTGTAGCTAATGTTTCTTTCAGAATGTGAAATTAATAAAAGGGTATAGAGATAGATCTACTAGAGATTATTCAATTCTAAATTGGTATGGTTTCTTTTATTTAACATGTAGTTATTACATGTAACTGAGTACTAATGCTGGATTATGTGAAACTGGGACGAGACAAACTTTGTTTGAAGAAATACTTTCATCATTGTTCATATACGGTCATATAAAAATCTGGATTTTCTTGTCTCGCAGAGTACATCATATGTTCTATGAAGCCTTTAACAATATAAATATTGCGATAGAAGCCGGGGGTTCTAAGCTAACATATGGAATTGTTTTAAGATGGTCATACAAAGGATCATTTAGCTATTTTATTTTGAATTTTAAGACCCTTTAAGGTATCAAAAAAAATAAACAAAAAAAATATTGGATGAAACATTTGGCATTACTGCTATTAACTAATGGAAACACAGTGAAAAGCATATTCACTACAACAGATAGTCCCCCAAAAAATCTAAAGAAAATTTGTTCTGAAGTGTTGTCCTATATCTGAGCGATATAAGAAAGATCAGATAACTATTATTATTCATGTTTTTACATGTATTTCTCCCCTTATTTTAGGCACTGAACTATCTCCATATATACTTCAATATATATTTTTAACTGGTACCGGGGACCTTCAGATGAGTCTTGTGAGGTTTGTGGGCATCCTAGGGCAAAACGGAGAACACCATGGTGTTTGTGAGAGTCTCAGCGTTCAATAGAGTGAACATAATAGAGAGGTCATAATAGTTTGTAGGCCAAACCGTTCAGACGTTTTCGTATGAAGACCGCATTTTGGGATGTCTCATGGTCTGACAAACACCGCTCTAGGTCTGCCACCTTTCACCGTAGATGCGGAAGGGTGATATCGGCGGATTTGGTGGATTGAGATGCAGCCCTTGCAAACACATATCTCTAGTTTAAACAGACTGACTTTGATGGGGATTTGTATATTATGTTAATTAATGTCCACAGGGGTGTGACCATTGAAGGCCAAGGGTTAAACACCCAGATGTCATAGCTATAGAATGACCTCACTGTTGCCCAATGCATCTTAAGCTGTTAGTCCCATTTGTCTCTACTGGTTAACACATATCATTACAGTTGCCTGTATAAGATAGATTATCAATTAGTATAATGTATCTTAATGAAGAATGACATTGTAAACTTTGGAGATATTATTGTCTTAATTAAGAACTCCTCTGAACATGTTGAACTCTATAGTGTACATTGTCATTCTTCATTAAGATGCATTATTCTAATTGGTTATGAAACTAACAATAAAAAACAATTTATTCATAGAAATATCAAAGTGTGAATGTACAAAGGATGTCTAAAAAAGGATAACAATTAACTTTTTTTTTCACTAGAAAATCACCACGTTAGTGATACATTGTAGATACTAATGACTAACACAACAACACGCAAATACAGTAAGACTTCTAATAAGTAGTACAAGGTAGCGTGACATTCTGCCATTGTTTTTGTTCAGCTTGGGGTATTCATGTTCCTGATTTAGGAGAGGTAGATGACATTGCTTTCTGAAGCAGAACAGTAAACAACATGTCCCAACATGGGCTCCCAAATGACCAATTAAAATGCATGTAGTTTTGGTGAAGTGATCCAATGATGGTTTGGTTCTTCACAGGGAGATCAACCATTCTATCTGTCTGCTGGAAATCAAAGGGGTATCATTCAGCAGTGTTTTGTATTAAAGTGACATTTCAGGCTGGCTATCTATAGGCATACAACTTTTTTGAAAGTTACTAGTTACACAATTGTTTTACTGTTACTTTGTTCCGCTGATTGTATGCCAGGGATGAAAGTACAGAGAGTAAATATTTTCCACAGCTTGCTCTGCACACACAAAAAATATACTCTGCGATGGGCATACCCTTACTGGAGTGTTATAATGTTATTACATGTCTTATTACACTGTAGTTACTCTGTTATAACATCTTTGTCTACATAGACTACCTTGTGTTACACTTATGGGCCTTACGGCACGTTACACACATGCTTAATGCAGCCAGTTCTGAGAAATGGCAGGTAAGTAGTTTAACAGTATGTGAAGCGGGATGTGGAGAATGTTAATATCTCAATGAGATCACATATAGGAAAATAATGTGACGGTCTCACTGCATCTAGTGCTTAACATTGCGAGACCCCAGCTCATTCTCACTCGTCGTGGAGTAGTGGAGAAGTGTACATGTTCATGCTTACTACAGAAAAAAATGGCTGCCAACCGCAAGGTTCTACACTCACTGATCCTATACATAAAAAATACATTCAAATGGTGCAGCAAATGGAAAATAGAGCACTTTTTGGGGTTGCTCGGATCAACACCCCAGCGTCATTTGCACCACTATCCACACCATGTTTCATTGTGCCATCCACGCCATGTTTCATTGTGCTACTTGATGCCGTTGAGCCAGATCCCATTTCAGTTTTATTATGATGGAAATAAGCTATTGCAAAAGAAAATGCTAATGGACATGCATTTTCAGCATACAATATGGATTGGAAGGAAACCTGCAATATTCATATTAGTCTGTTGTCATGGCATTAGGTATTTCTAGACAAACGACGCAGCACTTATGAGTTAGGACAGACTTCAGTGAAAGACCTGCCTATAGCACCATATCTTTATGAGCCTTTGTATAAAACCATGGGTGCTGTTTTTCTGCCTAGTCTATGCACCATCTTCTATTGCATCTTGTTAGCCAACTATCTCTAGATCTGTTGGGCAGTGTGTCAGCCAGCACGGTGGTGTGTGACTTATCTGGCAATGATATTTATTAGCGTAACTAGTTGGGAGATGTTAAACACTGGGAGTTGCCTCAGTAGCGTCGGAGGCTGTTTTCTAGTTTTGGCCATCAGCGTTCAGTTAGCCTGCTTGGCAGCCCTATGAAGGCCCATCATTACCTTATGATTCACTGGCCACTAATTGGAATGTCACTCTACGAGGCTCGTGCTGATATGAATATGCTCAGTTAAGATGCACTTACACACAAACATATACACTTTCACTCACATTGTGCGACCAAATAGAATTTTGAAAAGAAATTGGGCATTGGTAATAGATTTCTACCATCACATTGTAATGTATGGAGCTTGACGAGATTAAATATGACCATTAGGCAGTCAGACTACTTCCATGGTTACTACGACGACCACTACTTATTCCACAATGCACACAGTATTATTGTATTATTTAATATTATTGCACACAGCATTATCTCTGGTGACGTTGAAGATCTATATTTCTGAATGTACAGAAACATTCAAAATGTTAAACTACTGCAAACATTTCACTGATAGAATACTCTCATTTTGATGATATGTTGATGAAACTACTATTTCATATCTTGAATTCAAGGTCCAATGCAGCCTTTTAAAAAATCTCAATATCAAATCATTTCTGGATAACAATTAAGTATCTTACTGTGATTATTTTCAATTAAAATGGTTAAAAATAAACAAAAATAGCTTCTTAGCAAAGAGCAATTTCCCAAGCTAGAATTTTGCTAGGACTGTCTGGGAGTAGTCTGAGTGGGGAGGGAAAAACTGAAAACTAGCTGTTATTGGCAGAGAGGTTTGGAACTATTTTTCTTATTGGTCTATTAATTAATCAGGCAGGTCATCCATCATAAAAGTCAGTATTCTACGTCTATCCATGTCTAAGGACATCGGGAGAAGACATGGAAACCGGCCACTAGGGGCAACAGTGAGCTCTTTCCCCTTCAAATAGGCTTTGGTTTTGCAAGGGTGTTGTGGATGGGGATGGCAGATGGTTGTAAGCATCTGATTCCAAAGGTTGCATGTTTGAATCCAATGATAGAAAGTTGTTTTAGATATTTTAGTTTTGAGCCTATATCAACCCTTAACCCTTACCTTAACCATTCGAAGTTAATGCCTAACCTTAAGAATTCTGAGTTAATGCCTAAACCTTGGAACGATACAGAGTAACCAAACACTTCGGACATTTGGAACAACTTAGAAATTTTACGTTTGAGAAAAATGTATGAATATCTAATTCTGAGGTGAGACTGTGAGAGCTTTTTGTAATTAATTTACCGCCTGTTAATTTCACCAGGCAGGCCAAAACTCCATCCCACCAAAACAGGGTGACATTTCATGCAGGCTTTTCAAACAGCTCTTACACTAAAAGGGCATCATCATCATTTTACAATTTCACAGTATTATTCCAACCTCCATAGTGTGGAAATATATATAAAACACAGGAAAATCACGTGTTTGACTGCACTGGGCCTTTAAGCCATTCTCATCCCAAAGTAATTTGGAGAGTTTCTCTGAACAGGAGACACAAAAGGAATTGTGTGGCAATGTTTGCATCAGGAGAGAACAGTCAGACAGCAACTATTTGACTTAGTTATACATCTCTATGAGACAAGATTTAAATTGGGAATAGCATGAAGACAATCTGAGGGAAACGGTAGATTAGAAAGACGCTAAAATAGAAACAAGCCATCTCTGTAATGACAGAGACACCAACAAAGATATGATTTCATATTGGTTTCTCTGTCAATGGCAGAAGCGACCAGCAGATATATTGCATGGTTGTCATTATGGCACTGTCAAAAAGTTTATAAAAAAATTAAAATAAAAGATTTATCAGCTCAAACAGAAAACCACTAAAATGCACTAGAATTAAAACCACTAAAATGCACTAGAATTATCAGTTCAGTTTTTGTGTACAACACAACATGTTTTACATTTTATTAATATAAGATTAGTCAAATATGTTCTACAGTTCATATCTCTTTGTTTCCATTGTTAATATTGACCAGGCCTGTAGCTGGGTTTCCACATTCCCTAAACTCCCCCTTCCAGAACTATTATTAGACATGTAGTCATCCTGAAATGTCCTATACTTGACCGAAGCTCCACTTTTCCGAGGAAGACATTTTATGGTCTTGGACTTGGACATCCATTCTGATTTGGGCTTTTCAGGCGCATGTGTCTCTATTGTCAATGTCTGACCAATTCTTGATTAGTCAGCTGCAGAGAGCTGTCTCATGCTGAAGGAATGATGTTTGGGTCCTACTGCTTGCCCATGGAATACAATACATGGCCTTGTTTCCTCATAAAACAGAGGAGGCTTTTTATCCTCAAAGGAGTTAAAGTCAAAACCCCAGCATTAGAGCATCCTTCCAAGCAGCAGAAACACAACAACTTAATATATTTTTCTTGGATATCTCTGTTGAAGCTGCACTGTTTAAATTGTATTTTCATGTACCTAAATACAGTGTTTGACTAGGGGTTGATAGAGGCCACGGCTGGTATTTAGATTTGTGTGAAAGCCTGGTAAAAATACTCTTTCATCTTGTCAGCTAGATAAACAACAATCAAATATGAAAGATGACTTGCTTCTCCTCTTATTAAAAATTGATTTCGGTTTTGTATTGTTCAGATGAGGATTCCATCTCTCAATGTGGTCAAATTGCTTTGACCAGAATTAATTCACCCATCATCTCCATTTTGATAAATGTTACAAAATCTTATGAATATGTTGGAATATTCATCTTCTGAAACAAGTCATCCATTCCAACCACCCTTGTCCCTTCCACAGCAGAATGACTGTCTACAGCAACAGGCCAACGGCAGGGTGGCCAGCCACCTCTCTGAGGTCCTCGCCATATCACTGTGTCTCTCTGACGCTCAGAGGAACCTTTTTAATGAATGAGTGACATCTGTATCTCTGTGCGCTAACCACGGGGAGAGGCTGATCAGAAAACGGATCAACAGACTAACACAATGCGGTATCTTTGTCTGCTGGACTTAGTTATTATCTTGTCCTTGACATCATGCTGCATGTTGAGTAAGGTGAGAGCTCCACACAGTCTGGAGCCCAACCACCAGCTGGGCCAGGGGTCTCCCACCACTGCCCTACACCAGAGACTCAGACGGGGCTGGATCTGGAAACAGCTTTTTGTCCCAGAGGAGGACCCCACTCCAAGCGTGATTGGCCAGGTACCAGTTATGCCCTGAATGAAAATGTCCTACATTATAGCAGTCAATGGCTTTTGACTAAATTCTAGGTTGACAGGACTTGAATAAAACCCATTCTGAAAAAAATAATTGTGTTTCCTTTTCTCCTTTCCCTCAGCTAAAATCAGACTACGACAGAGGGGATTTCGCTATCAAGTATATACTGTCGGGTGAAGGTGCTGGGGAGATGTTTGAGATCGATGAATATTCAGGAGAGATCCGTACATTGCAGAAGCTGGACCGCGAAGAGAAGGCCTTCTACCTCCTGCAGGCTCATGCCCTTGCTCGGAAGTCCAACGAACCCGTGGAGCCCCAGTCAGAGTTCATCATCAAGGTCCAAGACATCAACGACAACATCCCCCAGTTCCAGAACGAGCCCTATGTCTCCAGCATCCCTGAGATGTGTCCCATGGGTAATGTTGCACAAACTACGGGTCCATATTAAGACAGCCACAGTCTATGCAGAAGTTTGAAATAACTCCTGCTGAGACGAAGACTCTCCTAGTATGGGCAGTGACACAGTAAATTACATTTAAATTATGCATATGGATGATGAGAAATCTTAGTTGAGGGATCTTTTGAATTTTACTGAGCACATGAAGTTACGATTTGAAGTCCCTCAAGTCACATGGTAGAGGTGATTACATACAGGTTTGAAATGTTACCTGAACCTGTACCTTGAAGAGCATTTGAAATGAAAACATTTAAATTACGCATATGGATGTATTTTACTGAGCACCTGGAGTTGTGATTTGTGAGTTGAGGTCCCTCACATGCTACAGGAGATTTCATACAGGTTTGAAATGTACCTTGAAGAGCATTTTAAATAAATAAATTGTTTAATCTCATTTGAAATGATAAAATAATATAAAGGCTATATACAGTGGGGGAAAAAGTATTTAGTCAGCCACCAATTGAACAAGTTCTCCCACTTAAAAAGATGAGAGAGGCCTGTAATTTTCATCATAGGTACACGTCAACTATGACAGACAAATTGAGAAAGAAAAATCCAGAAAATCACATTGTAGGATTTTTAATGAATTTATTTGCAAATTATGGTGGAAAATAAGTATTTGGTCACCTACAAACAAGCAAGATTTCTGGCTCTCACAGACCTGTAACTTCTTCTTTAAGAGGCTCCTCTGTCCTCCACTCGTTACCTGTATGAATGGCACCTGTTTGAACTTGTTATCAGTATAAAAGACACCTGTCCACAACCTCAAACAGTCACACTCCAAACTCCACTATGGCCAAGACCAAAGAGCTGTCAAAGGACACCAGAAACAACATTGTAGACCTGCACCAGGCTGGGAAGACTGAATCTGCAATAGGTAAGCAGCTTGGTTTGAAGAAATCAACTGTGGAAGCAATTATTAGGAAATGGAAGACATACAAGACCACTGATAATGTCCCTCGATCTGGGGCTCCACGCAAGATCTCACCCCGTGGGGTCAAAATGATCACAAGAACGGTGAGCAAAAATCCCAGAACCACACGGGGGGACCTAGTGAATGACCTGCAGAGAGCTGGGACCAAAGTAACAAAGCCTACCATCAGTAACACACTACGCCGCCAGGGACTCAAATCCTGCAGTGCAAGACGTGTCCCCCTGCTTAAGCCAGTACATGTCCAGGCCCGTCTGAAGTTTGCTAGAGTGCATTTGGATGATCCAGAAGAGGATTGGGAGAATGTCATATGGTCAGATGAAACCAAAATATAACTTTTTGGTAAAAACTCAACTCGTCGTGTTTGGAGGACAAAAATGCTGAGTTGCATCCAAAGAACACCATACCTACTGTGAAGCATGGGGGTGGAAACATCATGCTTTGGGGCTGTTTTTCTGCAAAGGGACCAGGACGACTGATCCGTGTAAAGGAAAGAATGAATGGGGCCATGTATCGTGAGATTTTGAGTGAAAACCTCCTTCCATCAGCAAGGGCATTGAAGATGAAACGTGGCTGGGTCTTTCAGCATGACAATGATCCCAAACACACCACCCGGGCAACGAAGGAGTGGCTTCGTAAGAAGCATTTCAAGGTCCTGGAGTGGCCTAGCCAGTCTCCAGATCTCAACCCCATAGAAAATCTTTGGAGGGAGTTGAAAGTCCGTGTTGCCCAGCGACAGCCCCAAAACATCACTGCTCTAGAGGAGATCTGCATGGAGGAATGGGCCAAAATCCCAGCAGCAGTGTGTGAAAACCTTGTGAAGACTTACAGAAAACGTTTGACTTGTGTCATTGCCAACAAAGGGTATATAACAAAGTATTGAGAAACTTTTGTTATTGACCAAATACTTATTTTCCACCATAATTTGCAAATAAATTCATAAAAAATCCTACAATGTGATTTTCTGGATTTTTCTTTCTCATTTTGTCTGTCATAGTTGACGTGTACCTATGATGAAAATTACAGGCCTCTCTCATCTTTTTAAGTGGGAGAACTTGCACAATTGGTGGCTGACTAAATACTTTTTTCCCCCACTGTATCTGTCCTCTGTTGCCCTTTCAGGAAGTTGAAAGTATTGGTTTGTGTATCATACCTCTGAATCCCTCATATTATTTATTTTATGTAAATCATGTTATCATTACTAGTGTCATTTCATAGAGCAAGCATAACCATTTCAATTTATATGTAATCTGCCTTTGCAGAATAATATCTTTCTTGTAATAAATCATAATGCATTTGACTTGGATAGAGAGAGAGAAAGAGAAGAAGCGAGAGAGAGAATGAGAGGAAAAGAGAAAAGGTGGTCATAGAGAATGAAAGATACAGAAAGTAATACCCCGGCTAAGAGATAGAAAAAAAGAGAGCGAGAGACAGAGAGAGAGAGAGTGGTCGCTAGAAGAAACAGAGATAGACATGTAGACTGAAAGAGAGGGACAGAGAAAGATAGTGACAGAGTGGTGGAGAGAGAGAAACGAGAAGAGAGAACGATAGGGAGCAAGAGAGCGAGAGAAAGAGAGATGTCACGGCGGAGGGTGGAGAGGTTGTCACGCACACCTGCCCAGCCTCAGTGCCTAGTGAAAGGCCACAGTGAGCATTGGGCACCCAGCCCCATCCCATCCCTCCCCTGCACACCGCCTCCCTCTGCACCCCTGAGCCAGACAGACAGACCCTGTAGGAATGTGGCATAATCACTTTATTTCCCCGTTGGCTGCTGGAGGGTGGCTGGAAGGCTGCAGCCTGAGCCAAGCCTGCCTGTGTGATCCTCTCCCCCCTCCACAGGGACCACCGTGGCCCAGGTGACAGCTACAGATGCTGATGATCCCCTGTTTGGAAACAATGCCAAGCTCATCTACTCCATCCTACTTGGGGAGCCATACTTCTCTGTGGAGCCCAAGACAGGTATAGTTGAGAGATACACTACATGACCAAAGTATGTGGTCACCCCTTCAAATTAGTGGATTTGGATACTTAAGCCACACCCGTTGCTGACAGGTGTATAAAATTGAGCACACAGCTATGCAATCTCTTAGACAAACATTGGCAGTAGAATGGCCTGTACTGAAGAGCTCAGTGACTTTCAACGTGGCACCGTCATAGTATGCCACCTTTGCAACAAGTCAGTTCATCAAATTTCTGCCCTGGTAGAGCTGCCCGGTCAACTGTAAGTGCTGTTATTGTGAAGTGAAAATGTCTAGGAGCAACAACGGCTCAGCCGCAAAGTGGTAGGCCACACAAGCTCACAGAACGGGACCACCGAGTGCTGAAGTGCGTAGCACGTACAAATCATCTGTCCTCGGTTGCAACACTCACTACCGAGTTCCAAACTGCCTCTGGAAGCAACGTCAGCACAATAACTGTTTGTCGGGAGCTTCATGAAATGGGTTTCCATGGCCGAGCAGTCGCACACAAGCCTTAATCACCATGCGCAATGCCAAGCGTCGGCTGGAGTGGTGTAAAGCTCACCGCCATTGGACTCTGGAGCAGTGGAGACGCGTTCCCTGGAGTGATGAATCACGCTTCACCATCCGGCAGTCCAACGGACAAATCTGGGTTTGGCGGACGCCAGGAGAACACTACCTGCCCGAATGTATAGTGCCAACTGTAAAGTTTGATGGAGGAGGAATAATGGTCTGGGGCTGTTTTTCATGGTTCGGGCTAGGCCCCTTAGTTCCAGTGAAGGGAAATCTTAAATCTACAGCATACAATGACGTTGTAGATGATTCTGTGCTTCCAACTGTGTGGCAACAGTTTGGGGAAGGCCCTTCAGCATGACAATGCCCCCGTGCACAAAGCGAGATCCATACAGAAATTGTTTGTCGAGATCGGTGTGGAAGAACTTGACTGACCTGCACAGAGCCCGGACCTCAACGCCATCGAAAACCTTTGGGATGATTTGGAACGCTGACTGCAAGCCAGGCCTAATCGCCCGACCTCATTAATGCTCTTGTGGCTGAATGGAAGCACGTCCCCGGAGCAATTTTACAACATCTTGTGGAAAGCCTTCCCAGAAGAGTGGAGGCTGTTATAGCAGCAAAGGGGGGACAAACTCCATATTAATGCCTATGATTTTGGAATGAGATGATCGAGGAGCAGGTGTCCACATACTTATGGCCATGTAGTGTATACTGTAGAGACATTCACATGGGACCATGAATATATCAAAATATGTCATGTTCAGTGTTCAAGATCTTTAAAGAGCAAGTACTTGATTTAATTGATTATCAAACTATTGAACATAAGATAGATTTGTGTGAATTCCCCCCTCTCTTTCTGGGTGGTATCTCTCTCTTTACCCCCCCCCCCCCCCCCCCCCCCCCCCCCCCCCCCCCCTCTCTCGCTCTCACTCTCTCTCTGTCTCCACCTTCCTTCCTTCCTCTGTCTCTCTCTCTCTCTCCTCTCCCTCCCCCACCATCAGGCATCATCATGACCTCGATGGCCAACATGGACAGGGAGGCTAGGGACCAGTATCTGGTGGTGGTGCAGGTGAAAGATATGCTGGGACTGAGCGGTGGTTACTCTGCCTCCACCACTGTCACCATCAGCCTGACGGACGTCAATGACAACGGACCCACCTTCCAGCACAGTGAGTCACATCAATCACTTCCACACAGTCAATGTGCCACTTCAAATCCTCTCGCACATGCTGATTCACATCACAAAAGAGGAAGTGAGTATGAGTATTTTCAGCCTCTTTAGTTTGTATGACACAGTTGTATTCTGCTCTTACTCCTTGTTGTAGACTGCAGTTTAAACACACAAGCATATGTATATTCTGAGAGAGAGATAGAGAGAGAGAGTGCGAGCGTGTGTGTGTGTATGTTCGTGTGTATGTTCGTGTGTGTGCCCGCGAGTGCGTGTGTGTGTGTGTGGCGCGACTGCGTGCGTGTGTGTCTGTTTGTGAGCCCGCTGGATGAATTTAATCATTCACACATGAAAGGACATTTGTCATGACCTTTGGAAACAAACCTGGCTTCCTCTGAGATAAACCTCTCTAAATGAATGCCAAGGGAAGAAATCAATTTCTCTCAAATGGGAAAACAGGGACAGCACTTTTAACAAAGTACGTCATTCTTATGCTATTTGAGATGCAGTGTGCTTCCAATAGTTACTTACATGTTTATGACTTATATATCTCACACACTGACCAATACACTGTTATGTGTAAGATGGTTTGGAACCTTTGACATTTATTATCAGTGAGTAGTCGTTTGTTGTTTTTGTTTTGGGTAGTCTGTTGAGCGTCCACAACATGTGGCAGTCATCCAAATAGACTCACTTAAAGACACAATCACATTTTCTCATCATCTTATTAGAGTTGGGCCAGGATTATATAGATCCATCACCTGTTATGATTTATCTATGCCTCACCACAATTGGTTCCTATGGACCTCTAATGATTTCTGTTGATATTTTTCCACACTACTGCAGACACCCTTGACTGGCTATTCACAACTTAATCGCCACACTTCTTCAGCCGCACAGGAAACTTGTCACGGCCGTCTTGAAAGGAAGCGGACCAAAGCGCAGCGTTTGTGGCGAACATGACTTTAATAGATGACGCACAAAATACAAAACAAAAGACGACTCATGAAGTCCACGGTTAACTAACCGAAACGGAACAAAAACCCACAATCCTCATGAGAACACAAATAGTTTAAATATGGCTCCCAATCAGAGATAACGAGCCGACAGCTGACACTCGTTACCTCCGATTGGGAGTCACACGACACCACAATAAACTCACCCAAAACACAACCAACCGAATACACCCTATACAACAAACCCCACAACAAAACCCAACAAAACAAATACACCCTGGCTCAAATACAAAAGTCCCGGAGCCAGAGTGTCACAGTACCCCCCCCTAAAGGTGCGCACTCCGGGCGCACCAGCATACAGTCTAGGGGAGGGTCTGGGTGGGCGTCTGTCCACGGTGGCGGTTCTGGCCCTGGTCGTGGTCCCCACCCCACCTTAGTCACCACCCGCTTCCCTAGCCTCCTCCACATGACCACCCTCCAACTTACCCCACCTGGACTTAGGGGCAGCACCGGGCTAAGGGACAGCACCTGGCTAAGGGGCAGCACCGGACTAAGAGGCAGCACCAGGATAAGGGGCAGCACCGGGCTAAGGGACAGCATCGGGCTAAGGGACAGCCCCGGACTCAATGGCGGATCCTGGCTGGCTGGCTCTGGCGGATCCTGGCTGGACAGCTCTGGCGGATCCTGGCTGGCTGACGGATCTGGCTGCTCATGGCTGGCTGACGGATCTGGCTGCTCATGGCTGGCTGACGGATCTGGCTGCTCATGGCTGGCTGACGGATCTGGCTGCTCATGGCTGGCTGACGGATCTGGCTGCTCATGGCTGGCTGACGGATCTGGCTGCTCATGGCTGGCTGACGGATCTGGCTGCTCATGGCTGGCTGACGGATCTGGCTGCTCATGGCTGGCGGAAGGCTCTGGCTGATCCTGTCTGGCGGAAGGCTCTGGCTGATCCTGTCTGGCGGAAGGCTCTGGCTGATCCTGTCTGGCGGAAGGCTCTAGCGGCTCCGGTCTGGCGGACGGCTCTGAAGGCTCATGGCAGACGGGCGGCTTAGCAGGCTCAGTACAGATGGCCAGTTCAAGCGCCTTAGGGCAGACGGGCAGTTCAGACCCCGTTGGGCAGACGGCAGACTCTGGCCGTCTGAGGCGCACCGTAGGCCTGGTGCGTGGTGCCGGAACTGGAGGTACCGGGCTGAGGACACGCATCTCAGGGCTAGTGCGGAGAGCAGCAACAGGACGCACAGGACTCGGGGGACACACAGGAGGCTTGGTGCGTGGTGTAGGCACTGGTGGGAAAAGGCTGGAGACACGCACCATACAGCTAGTGCGTGGAGGAGACACAGGGCTCTGCAGACTTACAGGAAGCCTAGTGCGTGGTGTAGGCACTGGTGGTACTGGGCTGGAGCGGGGAGGTGGCGCCGGAAATACCGGACCGTGCAGGCTTACTGGCCCCCTTGAGCACTGAGCCTGCCCAACCTTACCCGGGTTGATGCTCCCCGTCGCCCGACCAGTACGGGGAGGTGGAATAACCCGCACCGGCCTATGTGGGCGAACCGGGAACACCATGCGTAAGGCTGGTGCCATGTACGCCGGCCCGAGAAGACGCACTGGTAGCCGGATGCGTTGGGCCGGCTTCATGACATCTGGCTCAATGCTCACTCTAACCCGGCCGATACGTGGAGCTGAAATGTACCGAACCGGGCTATGCCTGCGTACAGGAGACACCATGCGCTCTACTGCGTAACACGGTGTCTGCCCGTACTCTCGCTCTCCACGGTCAGTCCAGGGAGTAGGCGCAGGTCTCCTACCTGACTTCGCCACACTCCCTTTTAGCCCCTCCCCAAGAAATTTTTGGGTAGTACCCACGGGCTTCCAGCCTCGACTCCGTGCTGCCTCCTCATACCACCTCCTCTCGGCTTTAGCTGCCTCCAGCTCTTCACGAGGGCGGCGATATTCTCCCGGTTGTGCCCAAGGACCCCTTCCATCCAGTATCTCCTCCCATGTCCATGAATCCTTGATAGGCGTCCATAAATCCTGTTGCCGCTTGACACGCTGCTTGGTCCTTTTATGGTGGGTTTTTCTGTCACGGCCGTCTTGAAAGGAAGCGGACCAAAGCGCAGCGTTTGTGGCGAACATGACTTTAATAGATGACGCACAAAATACAAAACAAAAGACGACTCATGAAGTCCACGGTTAACTAACCGAAACGGAACAAAAACCCACAATCCTCATGAGAACACAAATAGTTTAAATATGGCTCCCAATCAGAGATAACGAGCCGACAGCTGACACTCGTTACCTCCGATTGGGAGTCACACGACACCACAATAAACTCACCCAAAACACAACCAACCGAATACACCCTATACAACAAACCCCACAACAAAACCCAACAAAACAAACTAGAAACTTTGCATACAATAAGTAAAAGGACAGTCCTTATTAATTTCTTGCAGGCATGTGAAAATGTGAAAAGCTATGTAAAATGTAATTTTACATATTATATGTTTTCACAAAAGTTCCTTATCTGGTAGCAGAATCAATTGAACAGATGTAACTATTCATCTATTTCCTTGGACTTTCCTTGGGCTCTTGTTTCCCCAGACATGTACACCTTTGCTGTTCTGGAGTCTGCTGCGGTGGGTACCACGGTGGGCAGGATCATGGCAGACGATGGTGACGTGGGCATCAACTCCAGGATGAACTACAGTCTAGAGGACCTGGAGGAGAGCGCCACCTTCAAGATCCAAACGGATCCAGTCACACAGGAAGGGGTGGTCCTCCTGGCCAAGGTGAACACAGATTAAACACTATACTTTACTGTACTTTAGCCACCAATGCAAAGTGTTACATCCTTGTGATGCTGTTCTAATATGGACACCGTACTTACATCTTTTGACTTCTTTATGCTTTGTGTTTTTCATATTGTCTATGGTTATAGAATATTATTTTTAGGTTAGTTCTGTCTTTGAATGGCCTTTTCCTCTATTGCGCAATTCATTTACAGTAGACTTGTCTTTTGGCTCTTCTCGATATGCTGTTTATTCAATTCAAGACACAGGGGAACTGAATGGAGCTGAAATAATTGTTATAAAAATCATTGGCTCATCATTGACTGTCAATCTAAATACTGCATCAGTTAAGTGCAAGACCACAGCTGGTGGCTCATTGACTTCGAATGAAGCATTTTCCTCGTCCAATCTGATAGAATTGGGGGGAAAGGGGACTTGAAAGGAGAGAGCAGTGTGCTGGTTCTCAGGTTTTGTGAAACTGTTATGTCTTCATAATACATTATTTTGGCCAATTAATCTAAAGTGGCATACTATATCACACTGCTGGAAAATCGATCAACAAAAGAGGTATTTTAGAAGTTCTGTACCAAAATGTGCTTTCAAGTAAGAGCTTAGCTACAAAGAGCTGTTATTGATTTTTTAACTTTTTTAGCCTCTGGACTATGAGAGCAAGCGACGGTTCATCATGGCTGCGGAGGCTGTCAACGATCACATAGACACCCGCTTTCTGAGCTACAACGAGTTTCGGGACAGGACGACCCTAAAGATCGTCGTCGAGGACGTGGATGAGCCCCCTATCTTCATGGCGCCCGATTATGAGTGGAAGGTTCCGGAAAATGCGGTGGCAGGGACTGTGGTTGGCACTGTTAGCGCCAGAGACACTGATGCAATCAACAACCCAATCAGGTAAAGTGACCCTCCATGACTGTCAAATAGGAGATAACCTGGACAGATGTCCCGCCTCCTAACCCCAGCAATAGGTTGCACTTAGCACTGCTGCAACAGGCTGTGCGTGATGACATAGTGCACATAAAAAACACTTTTGCGCTAAAGTGTACCAAATAAAAAACAGATGTTTCCATTGCATTTTCCACTCTATCAATGGTTTTGTCACACAAACTATTGCAATTAATGGCAAACTTGCCCAATCTGGTTTTCACACTCTCTCTCTAGACAACTGTTCACTGATAAACTTGACAGGTTAGGTTATATAATGAGATCACAGGATGTTGGTGGCACCTTAATTGGGGAGGACGGGGTCGTGGTAATAGCTGGAGCGGAATGAGTGAAATGGTATCAAATATGTTATTATGAGCCATTATTATGAGCGTCCTCCCCTCAGCATCATCCACTGGATGAGATGGATAAGAGCAAGATCATTCTTATTTGTTAATTGGTAGCTAAGCAACGATCATCATACAAATTAAGACCCTCAATATTTATAGCAAAGGAACATCAAACTCATCACCGTGCACTTTCACCACCCAGTGAAGTTCGTTATAACTTAGTTCATTTGTAGCCTAATAAACAGTACATGCTGTCTCAAATCGTAGTCCGAGGACCACACAACATAGCATCGCATGACTGCAAATGAACCTCGACATGATGGTTATTATATCAACCATTGCGAAAGAAATCGTTACCTTTGTCACAATTCATTTTATCGACACAAAAAGATCCCACCATGACGAACTAACAAATTGTCTGTCAACATTTCTGAAATTATACCGACACTTCCTGTTTTCATTACAGCTGTCATGATTTTTTTTATACGCTATGACTGTGGTTGGAAACGTGCTTACTGACTTTTTTTAATTTGACCCTTGATTTCGGTGGATAGCCCGTACGTGGTCATATTTACCTCATATTACTTTAGTAGGAAATGAGGCCTGTTGAATAAATCATGGCTATTCTTCATACCTCACAGGCTTTTCTATCTATTACTGTGGTATTATCACAAAGCGACTCGCAGAGGAAGCTAGAAATGTAATAAAGAGACGTATGAGGTGGCATGTGGAATTCAGATTTAGAGTCATTTGCAAGTGGGGCACGTTGCTGCAGAGACAGCGCTGTTGCCTGTAGCCCAGCAGTGTTAAAGAGTGGCAGGTGCTGCATATCACTCACAGTATACTGTAGCTTCTATTGGAGGCCTTCACAGGAAGGCAAGTTGGAGAAAAAAATACTATCTGTCTTTGACCTTACTCAGATGTTTTGAAATTGTATTTTATTCAGATACACAGCATTGTGAGAAACATTCACCTGACAATAACATTCTCAACAATTCTTCATACTGTTTTGTTGAATTGCTGTTCTGTCATACTGGGCTTTGTTCGAGCCCGTTGAATATGTGTCGGTGGAAACAGAAAACTGAACAGTTTCCTCAAAGGATCTCTCGGTGGAATCGCTGTGCTTTGTCTGCTCAGCTATGAGAAACCAATGTTTGCATTGCTCGCTAACTGTGTGTCCTGGTGATTTCTCTTCCAGATATTCCATTGACAAAAGCAGTGATATCACAAAAGCTTTCAAAATAGACCCAAACAATGGGACCGTAACTGTTGCGAAACCTTTGGACCGTGAGGAAGCAGCCTGGCACAATCTAACCTTAAACGCCAAGGAAACAAGTAAGGAGAATTTCTCTCATTCATATACAATACAATAAAGTATAGATAATACAGAGAAAAGCACATCTATATCCACTATGATGGCAAACATGCACTATGACTGGCAATAGCTTACTGGTATACTGAACCATCTTCATCTAACCTCAAGGGAAGCACAATGTTCAACTCTCCTGAAAAGCTCTAAACTGTTTTTATAGCTTTCATTTTGTCCAATATCCTGTCTGCTTTGGGATTGAGTGATGATTTGTGCCACTGTTGTAATTCAAGGAGATGTGACTATTGCAGTAACATTTATCACGTTAAACTGCCTTTGTGACAGAGCTTTTCCAAAGCATTTATGATACATGTGTCCAACGGACTCCAACAAATGTCTATCTTGACAACTGCAGAGCAGAACCATCTATCCTCGTCTGTTGTGGTGTTCATCAAAGTGCTGGACATAAACGACAATGCGCCAATGCTTGCCGGAGACTACCAGCCATATATCTGTGAGGGCACACAGTCAGGAGAGGTAGGATGGACACTTCACTATTTTCACTGAGAATAATGCAACATTTGACTTCTGTACAGGTATGTGGGCTATAGGCTGAATCACAAGGTTTGTATCTCAGAGAGGACAATGCTGAATTGCAGGTTTTATATCACAATCACAGGCTATCTCAGTTAGTTTGTCAGTAACCTTGTATTGACTGTCTTAATTAAATGTGGGGATATGCCCTAGGTAGGACTATCAATGCTATTGTTATTTTCCGATGCTCAATGAGAATCACTGTCAGTCAGAACAATGGTCTGACAGCTATGTCTGTGTGTCTTGGAGCTCATCCAACTGATCAACGCCGTGGATCTGGACGACCCTGTGGAGGGACACCATTTCTACTTCTCCATGGTCCCTGAGAAGCACATTAACCCCAATTTCACCATCAGGGACAACCAAGGTTGAGTACAGATAGATCCTCTAACTGTTATTCAAACTATTTATGAATACAATCTGACATCACTTAAGCATCTGTGTAGCTATGCACTGAAAGAAAAGATAGAAAAGCTTTGATATTTACGGTGTTCATATTAGGACATCATCACATGTTCAAAGCAACTTTCATAGACCTGTGATGCTGTCTCAACATGGACACCATACATACCTTAAAGCTTTAAAATCAGGTTCGCTCCTCAAATAGATCCTTCCTATCCACCACAGACAACAGTGCTAGCATCCTGGCACGGCGGAGCTCGTTCAACCGTAGGGACCGTACCCAGTACCTGCTGCCCATGGTGGTGGCGGACAGTGGCTCCCCAGCCCTCTCCAGTACCAGTACTCTGACCATCAGCGTGTGCAGCTGTCAGCCCGCCGGCCACTGCCCCACAGGCGGGGTGGAGGCCCTGGCCCTCTCCATGGGGGTCAGCCTCCAGACACTGCTGGGCTTCCTGGTCTGCCTGGCAACACTCACAGGTCAGTGACACTGTACCCTTGGAATGGGCATATCTGGGATTTTCTTTTTCATGCGTTATTGCATTAAAATGCCTTGGATCCGATATTATGGCTTCATTTTGAATGTGTTTACATGGAAACATATCATGATTAAAATAAACTGTTTCAGATCTACAAGTTACAGACCGGTTGTGTTAGTGTGAGCTAGTGCAGTTCCACTTCAAATCAACTGGGCAAGTATGAAGTGTGTGGCTATATAGTTGGATGTCACTGAAACTTATCCCACTCTCATTAATAATAGTAATATTTTACTCAAACTCACCAGTGTGCCCTTAACACAAATGTAAAACTTTTAAGTGCTTAGCAAAGCTAAATAATGGTGTGCTTTTTCAGCTAGTAATGTGCTTATTTGTGGCAATGCATCAATACCAATGCCATCATGGGACATTGATGGGATTGCAATAGTATAGAGCTTTATAATGACCTCTGTTGCTTTGGGTAATCCTTATGCCCATCACATTAAATATGAATAGCTATGCTTACTGGGCTAACATCCCCTCACATGAGTGCAATACCCCATGAAAACAAGACAATAAGCACTCCAATACTAGCCTCAATAAGCAATCCGCTACTAGCACTCCAGTGCTTGCTCGCGAGACTTCCGGATGGTTGTACAAGGTTACTCCACTACTCCCTTAGGCTTAACAGCACACAAAATAATTGTTGGATACTGTATAAGGATACAATATGAATGATGATTTCAGATCAAATATTATTTTACAGTATTAGCAGAAATGATGGTACAGATGTAGGATCTTAATTTGAGTCAGTTTGCTACAGCAGGAGAATAATCCTGCAGCAACAGGAAATGTGAATTATTATGTGGATTATAATTACAGGTAGACTCAGCGAAATGAAGTTGCCATGAGCAGCACCACAGATATTGAGATGAGCGAGATGCAATACTTTGTTCTCACACAGTCACACACAGTATCTGTGCATGTGCACGGGTTCACTTTATGCTTTTCAAAGCGTGGTAGCCATGGCACTGAAACAGCGGAGAAGTTGAGCTACTATGCTGTTAACTTTCTGCATCTACGTCATATCACTACCTTTAATGGACATTTTTGTAGGGGTTGGTAAATTTTCATTAGGGAAATCAAGTCTGACATTTTCAAGTGGAAACTTCAAACTTTAGAAGCTTTTTTAAAACTCAAATACACTACAAGTTTGCATTTCCTGCTTTTCAGGAAAATTCTCAGAAATAAAATAATTAAGATATGCATCTAATTTTCCCACTTGTTTCTTCTCAATGTTTCCCCTTAAAGATTTTCACATTAACCCAAATAATAGTAACATCTAAGCCCACCCTATTATTTGCAGTGCACATGTCATTAAAGAGTGTGCATACTCAATCCAGACCTGAAATGCTTGTTTCTCAGTTTGCCAGCCTGTGTGTTTAAAACATAATGATCTCCTGTTGGTTTGTGTCTCCAGTGCTGTCCATTGTAATGCTGATGCTGAGGAGACACAGAAGGAAACAGCAGGAGGGACTGGGGAGAGCGGAGAAGGTGCTGGAGCTGCCTAAGAGGGTCTCAGAGAAGGTGCTGCACTACGGAGAACTAGGAGGCGGAGGAGGGGGTGACGTGGGGGGATTCTGTCAGCCTGCTGTCCCCCTCCGTCCCCACCCCCGCAGGAGGGACAGGAGGCTCCGCAGAGAGGAGGTGGCGGCCAGTATCAGAATGTCCATGTCCCTCCGCCACTCCCTCCTCATCGGCCCAGAGGACGATGTCTTTAAACAGTTCATCATGGACAGGCTGGATGAAGCGGATCAGGACCCCTACGTGCCGCCATTTGACTGCCTGAAGACCTACGCCTTCGAGGGCACAGGGTCAGCCACAGGGTCCCTTAGCTCCCTGGAGTCATGGGACTTTGTGGACTCTGACCAATGTCCACGGGATCCCGGATCACGCCTTGTCAGACTGACTCTCTGGCACGGGGGAGCGGAAGAGGAGACAACCTTCTGAACTGCTAACATAATAACATACATAATAGTACTGCACATCCATGAACTCAATTTGGACATCCTGATGGAAGAGACAAATAAGTATGTTTTCTTCCGCTGTATGGTTGAAAACAGTGGAGCTAGCTGTAATAATTATTATCAGTGTTATGACAGTTATACTTTTTTGTTGAACAGGCAGTTTCTTAATTATTTTTTAACAGTATTTAAAGCAACATAACTTTCTATACATGACCTCATTCTGCATTGGTTCAAAAGATGGGTAACACATTCTAGTATTTCAACCTTCATGACAGTGTCATAAGCACATCATACGTTTCTTGACACATGCCAGAACTTTACATTCTTGGCAGATGAATTAGATAGGACCTGTAGCTACACAGAAAATTCAAGTGTTAGAAAACCTAAATGAACACTGAGAGTGTTACATCAACACTGAAAGTGTTGAGTCTGTGGAACAGTGTTAAAATAACACACTGCTTAGTGTAAATCCTTATTTCAATATTTCCCTGAGTGCCTTGTCTTTCGAGTACATTGTAGAGTTACCACCCATGACTGTATTTGTTAGTGACAGAGACATGGTTGTTGCATTCATCCATTTTTGGTCCTATGGACTTCACCAAGTGAGATCCTAAGCGAATATGTTATCATACAAAAATTATATTTAACACAATAGCATACATATATCATAAGGCCTTATTTTGAGAGTTTTACCCTAATACAGGTGCCTGAAATTCATACACATCACTTTGAATCAAAACCACGCCCATCATTATCATATTCCCCAGCATGCTCTATTGCAGGTAGATGTTTTTGAATTGTTTGTTTCAATATCAATGTTTGTGCATGTACATTGGTTGATTGATTGATTAATTCATTAATCTTATGCTACTCAAATATAAAACCACATACATTTTTCTGAACTAATCCAATATGTTACTTGGACTTATTGCACCATTACTGAAATTGTTGTTCCAGTTTAGATGCTTAGGGAGTCTCATAGTTTAGTTTCCCCCCAACCCTGGCAGTCATTCTTAATACATGTTGAGAGTGACCAAAAAATGCAATAGTTAGATATCCCCACACTGGTTGGATTCCAATAGGAGTACCCATCACATTGGAAGCCAGCATAATGTGACTTGCAGGCCTAATGTGGCCTGTAAACCATGAGTTTCAGGCCATTGTATTACAAGCTCAGAAAAGGTTGTCACTATAGTGCAAGGGTGTCAAACTTATTCCATGGAGGGCCTAGTGTCTGCAGGTTTTTCTTTTTTCCTTTCAATTAAGCCCTACACAACCAGGTTGTGACCTTAACTCATCAATCAAGTACAAGGGAGGAGCGAAAACCTGCAGACATTGAGTTTGACACGTGCTATAGCTGAACCCTGTAAGGCAGGGTTTCCCAAACTCAGTGCACATTTTTGTTTTTGCCATAGCACTACACAGCTGATTCAAATAATAAACTAACCGTCAAGCTTTGATAATTTGAATCAGCTGTGTAGGTCCCGAGGACCTGGGGCCTCCCCTGGGTGCGCGTTTTGGTTTTTGCCCTAGCACTACACAGCTGATTCAAATAATCAAAGCTTGATGATGAGTTGGTTATTTGAATTAGCTGTGTAGTACTAGGAAAAAAAACAAAGTGTGCACCCACAGGGGGGAAACCCTGGCCTAAACCTATCAACGTTACATTGAGCTGGGTGAATGGAATATGAATGACAGTCTTCCAATATGCTGCAATAGAAATAAGTCCATGTTCATTAAAAGCATAATCGTCTTCCCTCATCTTAAACTGCACCGACTGGAACTGGGGTACAATTATGCACTTATAACTAAAGGTACAAAGGAGCTATGATAGGTTGGAGGACATCCTCCGGAAGTTGTCATAATTACTGTGTAAGTTTATTGAAGGGGGTGAGAACCACGAGCCTCCTAGGTTTTGTATTGAAGTAAATGTACCCAGAGGAGGACGGAAACTAGCTGTCCTCCGGCTACACCATGGTGCTACCCTACAGAGTGCTGTTGAGGCTACTATAGACCTTTATTGCAAAACAGTGTATTTTAATCAATTATTTGGTGATGTGAATATATTTAGTATAGTTTTATCTAACAATTATCACTTTTTTATTGTTTCACTATTTACATTTTCAGAAATTCACTGAGGAGGATGGTCCTTGATGTTATTTATCTTTGTGTAGCATACGATTGATCAATCAATGCAAAAGAAACAATACAAAAAAATCTAACTGCAATAGAGCATGCTGGGAAATATGATAATTATGGGTGTGGTTTTGGATCAAAGTGATGTGTATGAGTTTCCGGCCCCTGTATTAGGGTAAATATACACCCTCAAAATAAGGCTTTATGAAAAACTTATGGTATTGTGTTAAATATATATATATATATATCACTTGGTCTATAGGAGCGCAGATGGATGAATGCAACAACCATGTCTCTGTCACTAACAAATACAGTCATGGGTGGTAACTCTACAATGTACTTGAAAGACACTCTGGGAAATATTTGAATAAGGCTATACACTGTTCTTGTGTCCCTATGGGTCCACAGACTCAACACTCAGTGTTCATTTAGTTTTTTGTCAATGCTTGAGAATTTTCTGTGTAGTGTTATAATATACAGGGAAACCCTACCTGTCATTACCTTTATATACAAGCTGTGCATTTGTGTTCTGTATTATGAATTTATAACTATAAAACAGCCTTAAACAAATAAGTGGTAGTTTTACTTTGCAAACTTCAATACAGCCTTTAAACGTTTGTTTATCTTTCTGAAATATCTATTCAGAAATATGAGTATTCACTTCTATTCAAAGGCCTCACCCCTAAATTCCTCCCCTGAGAAGCGTGAGATCAAGCTAGTCCCCATCAGAAATGTGAGACATGCATATATGGCATGTGTAATAGTTCTCTGTGCTGTTTGGTGAGTCATCCAACACCTCATCACTGCCCTGTCATCAACCCAGAGGACAGGAGTGGGCCAGACAGACAGCACTCTTCACTACACCCTTTAGACAACATGTATACACCGTAAGTAGTGGTAAAGTAATTGGAAAAAAAGCATTGAAAAGATGGACAAAATGTCTCAAGGAGAAAGTAAAACATCTGCGAGTGCCCTCTCGAAGCCTGAGGTCCTGATATCTGCTTGAGGGATTCACTTCAAATTCATGTGAAATACTGAGACAGTCACGTTCTATAGTTTGGAGTAAAACATTGCTGCTAGGAGCTGTTGTGTGGGTGAATGCTGAATGCTGCAGCAGCGGTTAGTTCGAGGCAAAATCCAGGTGATAAGGTCTCTCTCTCTACCACTTCCTCCTCATCAACTAATTGGACGGTTTTCTGTCTAAGAAGGTCAATGTGGAACTCACAGGAGCTGTTTCACTCTAGATGATGTAATGGAATTTTGAAATCAAACCTTTGTTGTGGCAAGAGGGTGGAGAGAAGGCCCTCTGTAAAAGCTTTGATTGTTTATATTAATCTCAGAATAGTTGTGGGACAAAAGAGGGCCTCAAACTGATTTATTAACTGTTTTTACTGTCTTACTGCTCATATGGAGCCTGGAAATACACATTTTGCAGGAGTCTATGAACAGTATTGGACAATTGGACAAAATTCCAATTAAAGTCGAGTCTCACAATGGTATTCAGCAGACCGTGCAGGTGACGCAACGTGTCATTTTCCAAGTCTTTTCAAGTCAAACACCTCACTACGATTAAATATCTGGCACATTGGATTTGCCAGAGAATACTCTCTTGTAAAGTCATTTTTCCAAAGTGCCTTAGCCTCTAAAGCCTTTCAGCTCATGTGGCCATTTAAACTTCCATTTTTTTTTTGTCATTACCCATGCTGCATATCCTGGCTAATTTAACCCAATGCTCCCTTTCTTTATGTAAGATGTCCATTTAACGAACATGTCCATTCCACAATGTCAACGGTATCTGTCTGTTGCTGCCATTGCTACAGCCAGGTTATCAATTCCGCTCTTCTTTCAAAAGGAAGTGCCAATCGCATCAAAGTAGCAATGTGTCAAAGTCAAAAGGTGTTTTAACATTATAGCTTTCATTGGAGAGACCAGAGCTGTTTGATTGAGAAAATGCGGTGCCAGTCCAATCCTCTTTAAAGAAAAACTATAAAAGTTCTTCAAATGGGAAAACTTTCAAGTAGGATTGTCTCAATCGTGGTTTGGGATTGAGCGGAGAGATATTTACATTCATCATCCTCTTCTCATAATAACATGGTATATCCACTACTGTATGTTCATATGTGTAATGAGATCTGGATGAAGAGCTGATGTTAACGTATTAGCGTCATTACTCAAATTTCACTCCGAGCCATAAAGGTGACACACAGTTCTCAGAAATGTAGCTTGAAATGAATGGTAATGACCAGAGATGACATCTGCATACGGATGAGATTGTAGATGGATGGAAAAAGCTCTTAGCTTAATGAAAAAAATTGGGCCTTTATCTATTAGACATTAAATGTGAACAATGCAACAGCATGAAGCACAGTGCTTGGGGTTGGAATTCCTCTTATAAAAGGAACCAGGGTGAGAATGAATGTGTCTGAATGATTTTGGATTTGATTGATTCTAACGAACGTTTGACACTATGCAGTGTCTGCCATGTTAATTGAATATGAGAATGTCTGCATTGAATAATGATACATAAGTGTAAGAAAAATTATACTTCTGCTTGTGATATCAGAAGATCCCAGTTGACCGTTAAATTGAATAAGGCTGATCAGAGACTTAAAAAGGTCTGAAGCTAAATGTCAATGGCAAGAAGCATTAAAATATTTATCTCTTCAACCTAACTAGACTTGGCGTAGACTTTGCTAAACTGGCACCCAGAGCAATGTGTGCCTATCAGAAAGCTCTTGTACTGTACCACTACTTTGATCCCAGCACTACAGTGCCTTGCAAACTATTAATCCCCCTTGGCGTTTTTCCTATTTTGTTGCATTACAATGTCATGAGTTGCTGTAGGTAGGTGTGGTGTGGAATCAGGCGCAGGACGCAGAAGTTAAGTCCAAACAAAGTCTTTAGTAGATCAACACAAAATAATCCAAGAACAGCCCGGAGGCGAGAAAAGCGAGCACAGGCGTAACCAAACGGGCGCACTAAACATGTGCGTAAATCTCTCCTAAAACAACAAGGAGGCAAACTACTAAATAGCGCACCAAAATAGGTAGCGCAGCAACACGGCAAGAAAACAATTACACACAACACCTAACTAACAACAAGGAACTAAATAGGGTGCTTAATGAGACATAACACAAAACAGGTGTGACAAACAGACAAAACCAATCAAACAAGAAACATAGAACGGTGGCAGCTAGTACTCCGGAGACGACGACCGCCGAAACCTGCCCGAACAAGGAGGAGGGGCCGCCTCGGCCGAAACCGTGACAGTACC